GACAGGACTGATTCAGAGCCTAGAAGTGGCAGTGAATGGTTCTAGCTATGGGACCCCTGGGGCACCAGAGAGTGCTGGCTGGTCCTTAGGCAAATTGGGGCCAGAAAGAGGAGCTTCAAAAATCAAGCTGTGATTGAGAGGAGGGGGACCCATATTGGGAGTAGCACTGGGGCTACGAGAATGAAATCGGAAAATTCTTGGGCTGGAAGGAGAGCTTGCCCACTGTCTAGGATCACGGTCTCCTTTTTATTTCCGTTGAGTTCAACACATCCTGACAGGATCATCTGCCTCTTTGAAAGCAACTCCTTTGTTTTCAAACTTTGCTTTTTCCTCCCTTCTGAGCACCAGATAGGGAAGAAATCTGGGGCCGTAATCTTTTCTAGGGCTGCTTTGCCTCTGACTAGTGGCTGGATAGCCCAAGCAGATTTTGTACAGTTGGGACAAAGCTGTGGGATTCATGACATTTGTGAGCCACACCTCTGGAGTATGTGAATCATGACTCTCTCTGGGCCCGGGGGCAAATCAGGGTGGAGTCACAGGATTTGAGGTAAGGACACTGGGACTAGAGAGGGGACAGAGAGTAGGCAGAGAGTGGCGCAGCCTAAGGAAGAGAACCTCCCTGGGCAGGTGGCTCCATTTGATTTCCGATTTAAAGGGGAGGCTTAGATAGCCAAGAAGAAAAAGGCTAATAAGAAAAATATTAAACTGCAGTGTGTGTGTCCCCAGGGACTTCCTGTTGCCATGACTGACCTCCCGGAGAGCGCCATTCGTTCCCGAGCATGGCAGCTTTATAGGCACTTGTAGGCCTGCAAAGAACACCAATTTGCTGCTGCAGTTTGTTTTGATAACTGAAACTTTCAATAAATCTATATTAAAATCAAAGGGAAAATTAACTAGGCCCTAGTGAGGGGCACGGAGATAAGGGAGCACATTACCATCCTGGCCTCAGCCACCCCACATCCATCTCTTAGTTCAGATTCAGGTCACTAGGGAGATGAATGGCTCAGGCTCTTGGGGAACAGCTCTGGGGAAAAGCAGGAAGAAAGCGGCATGGCCAGATCCAGCCCTGACTCCTCCCAGAGCGGCAGAAGACTGCTGGGGGGTTGGGTTGGGGAGAAGAGGAGGTGGGGTGGTGGTGGTCATGATGGGAAGAGGGGTAGGAGAAAGGGGTAGGGAAGGGTGAGAATAGTAGTAATAGCCACTGTTTACTGAACTCTTTATTCTAGGTAGTGCTAAGCAGTTGCGTATTTAATTCCAATAACAGGTAGATACGAGTATTATCTACATTCTAGAGATGAAGAAACTGAACTTCAGAGAGGTATGTGACTTGCCGAAGGTCACAGATGGAGCCAGGACTCAAACCTGAACAGGTTCTCTCTGAGTCCACCCTTCTATGCTGTCTTATATAGCTTACAGGGACTACGATGGCAGCAGCAGTTCTTCCAGTTGCCGCATAAAATGGTTTCAGACCCAGTCTGGGTTCTCTCAGCTGTGCCAAGGTTTGGGGGCTGCCATGCATTATCCTTGGGTCCTGCATTCTCTGTGCTTTGACAGCTGGTTAAGGTCCTAGCTTTGATGGCCACCTTGCTGCTTTTCCTGGTGGTTTGACAGGCTATAAGAAGACCTAACTGACCGGGCGCGGTGGCTCATGCCTGTAATCCCAACACTTTGGGAGGCTGAGGCGGGCGAATCACCTGAGGTAGGGAGTTCGAGACCAACTGGATCAACATGCAGAAGTCCTGTCTCTACTAAAAATACAAAAATTAGATAGGCCTGGTGGTGCATGCCTGTAATCCCAGCTACTCGGGAGGCTGATGCAGAAGAATCGCTTGAACCCGGGAGGTGGAGGTTGCAGTGAGTTGAAATCGCGCCATTGCACTCCAGCCTGGGCAACAAGAGTGAAACTCCATCTCAAAAAAAAAAAAAAAAAGAAGACTTAACTTGGTCCTGTCTTGTGTTCTTGCTCTCAGTGTTCACTTTAGCTCAGTCGCTTAATCCAGCAGCCAGGATGTCTGTGTGTCTGTGTACTGGACTCAGTTCATCTGCCTCCCCAAATTCACTTGCCCTTGCCTTGTGTGCACCCTTGACTCTGGCCATTGGCCACTTGTTCATTGGACAACCCACCTGCCACTCCCACTTCATTTACTAACACCTCTGGTTATCTTCGTTTCCCTTGGGATGAGGGTTAGGTTTGGACACAGCCTCCAATGTGCGCACTGTGGCGGGACTGCAGTTGGACCTGATCTGACCCAACCAGAGGCTTTGATTCCTCTCACCATTTCTAGTCTCAAATGAATGACTATACTTCAGGGTGTGGAATCGGGCACCCCCTGGGGCTACTGCATTGGTGGGGTAACACAACCCTTCCTTCTCCCTGTCACACAGGATGGTTCTACACACCTTGTACGACAGAGCAACGAGTTGTATTTTCTTTGAGGAACTGGCCAACTTCTCAGTAAGACACTATCTGGTACTTTCTTTCCCTCCTTCCCTGCTTCACTTCCCCCTTTCCCCTACTCTTTTATTTATTTGTTTATTTAAGACACGGAGTCTTGCCATGTTGCCCAGGCTAGCCTTGAACTCCTGACTTCAAACGATCCTCCTGCCTCAGTCTCCTGCCTCCTGAGTAGCTGGGACTACTACATGTGTCACCTTACCCGGCTCCCCTCACTCTTGATGCCTTGGGATTGTACTCCCCAATTAAATTTGAACACATAAGTTTTGCCTCAGGCTCCGTTTCCTTTTTTTTTCTTTTTCCTTTTATAGAGATGGGATCTTGCTATGTTGGCCAGTCTGGTCATGAACCCCTGGGCTCCAGCAATCCTTCCACCTTGTCCTGCTAAAGTGTTGGGATTTCAAGCATGAGCCACTGTACCTGGCTCAGGCTCTGTTTTCTAGGGAACCAGACAGCACACAACAGAGCCACGGCTTGAGAAATCCAAGTGTTGTGCTAGGCGGCAGTGTAAGGTACCAAGTGTATACTGAGCTGTCAAACTGTTCTATTATTTGAATCAATTTGCCTGGTCTTTGTACAAAAAGAGCTTACAGTGTGGTGAAGTCCTGGAAGCTGTACAGTTGAGCCCTGGTGCACCAAGGAGGAAAGGACACATTCTGGGGAAGTCAAGGGGACCATTGAAGGCTCCACAGAGGATGTTGGGGCTGGGCATTAAATAAAGCCTTGAATCCAGATAGTATAGATTTACTTCATTCTTACAGCCAAGAAGATTGGCTGTGCCTACTCTTAGGCCATAACTCAGTATATAACAAAGCTATCTCACTGCCTCTTGTCTTATTTTTGTATTTGCTTGTTTTATTATCTATCCTTCCTCCTACAGCCCCTCTCCAATTTATTTATTATGGCTTTCTGCAGCCTTGTCCTCCCAGGCTCCAGTGATCCTCCCACCTCAGCCTCCTGAGTATCTGGGACTACAAGCACGTGCCACCATGCCTGGCTAATTTTTAAATTTTTTGTAGAGATGAAAATCTCATTATGTTGCCCAAGCTGGTCTTGAACTCCTGGTCTCAAAGGATCCTCCTGTCTCAGCCTCCCAAAGTGTTTAGAATTACAGACATGAGCCACGGCACCCAGCTTCCCTCTCCAGTTTAAAAGCTCCTTGAGAATACAGGTGTGTCGTTATTAATCAATGAATCCTCAGCAACAGAAACAGTGCCTGACACTTAAGAGAGGCACTATAAATACAGGTGGACTGACTGACCAACTGGGGTTAATGTCTAGGTAATAATAGGAGAATCTGTTCCAGCTCCAAGAATTGGAGGATAGTACCTCCACTTACTGACTTCGGGATAAGCCTGTCCCCGATGCTGTATATTCCCTCATTTGTTCACAGACATTTACTGCAGGCCTTCTTTACGCCTGCACTATGCTGTGTATTACTGAACAATAATGGAAAAAATGGAACATACATGAACAATATGGAAAAAAATGCTTTTCCTGAAGGACTTAAAACCCTGTGGGAGCGACAACAAGGAAAAAGACAATTATAAAACAATATGATAAATGCTGTAGGTGCACAGTAGAGTCACCTAACCTGTTATGTGGGTGGGATAGATGATGGCATTCCCTGATATGGGGATTACCAGGCACTCCCAGCTCAGGTGGAAACCGTTATGTTAAAGTCCGATCTCAGAGGTGGTAGGGCCCAGAAATGACATCATCCTAAGTGTAAATATGCAGACAACACACAGAGGGGCTTGGTAACTGAAGCTGGGCCCAGAAGATGGGGTCCTGACCGATTGTGAAGCTGTCAAAGCCATCATTGGCTTGGCTAAGGGTGAGGTTTCCCAGCTCATATCCTGGGACTCATGACTACCCAGAAAGGCATAACCAGGATGAAGAAACACAGGTCTCTCCAGCTTACTGGAGAGACTAACTGGGGAAGTTCCTCACAGCTGAGGCCAGAAACCTTTTAAACAGAAGTTTCCTCTGAGTGGACCTGAACAAGCCAGTTCCCTCTTCCTTAGGACGGCTCTTCACAAATCTAAGCATTTTCCTCTTGGCTTAACCCCTCTTTGTCTCAGGTCTCCCCCAGGCCCACATCACAGAGTAGATGACAATAATTACTTGTTGAATGAACGAATCATGAAGAGTCATGTAAATATAATCTGTCACGTTGTGAGCCCACATTTACCTTGCGGGTATACTGGAGGGCGGGAAAACGGAGATGGGGGACCTGGGTCGCTGTAGGCCTTAGAAAGTTTCGTTTTAAAAAAATTGCTTTCACAGATCAGAAGTGATGTCCCCGCCCCCGCCTTCTCTTCTGAGTTCGTGCAACGTCAAAACTACAAGTCCCATAAGCCCGGCCGCCGGGACTTACCATCTTGACATACCTTAGCGCGCATGTCGGCGGGAGAGTGAGCATTTGGGGAGAAGAAGCCCCGCCCGACTGCAGCCCATTGGTCAAAGGGACCGGCAGCGGGCTCAGCGGTTGGCCACAGCGCCCGCCCGTCCGTCGCGTCGGTCGGGGTCAGAGTGCGCGGAGGTGAGTCGGTGTGTTGTGGACTCGTGGTGCTGGCTGCCGCTGTTCAGGCGGCCGGGAACGGGCGGTGGGGAGCGGGCGGAGCTGGCCTTGCCTCTGCCTGGCCGGCGCCGCAGTCGGCGCGGGCTGCGCCCGCCGCCGCCAACTGCCCTGAGCGCCTGCTGAGGCCGAGGGAGACGTCGGGGCCTGCACCTGGAGGGAGCCTGCCGCGCTGGCCCCGAGGAGGGGGCGTTGCCATGGCGACAGCCTCTCCCGCTGCTGACGGGGGACGGGGGCGGCCCTGGGAAGGAGGGCTGGTCTCCTGGCCCCCCGCCCCTCCCCTTACTCTCCCCTGGACTTGGATGGGCCCAAGTTGGGGGCAACACCCCGGGGTGGGTGATGCTGAATGCCCCCCTCCAAGATTGGGCCCTGGTTAATGCATGCGGGCCGAGGGTCGCGGTGCGCAGAATTTGTGCAACCTGGGGTGCTGGCCCATGTGCTAACCCTGGATGCTTAATCTACTGAGTAACGTTCTGGCGGAGGGGGAGAGGGGCAGAGCTTTGCAAGACAGGATGGGTGAGTTTATTAAGGGGGTTGACTTACTGGGATTACTAGAAAAGAAAAAGAGGTTTGACCAGAGTGGCTAGAAGTGGAGCAAGGAGATTGTATTAGAACATTCCCTTGACCCCCTCCCCAACACATGCACACACACCAGGTTAGCAGTTTACCTCTTTGTAAATCTGAAGCGGTGGTAGTGGTGATGGTGGAAGGAGTGAATAAGGGGCCTAACCTGGCTATCTTTCTGTGTGCCTGTCTTGCAAATGGTCTAGCAACAGGTGTTTTCTTAAAAAAAAAGCATGAATTTGGATTGAGGCTTGACTGTGAGTTCTTGTAAAATTTAACTGCTCATTGTTGACTTGGAAGATGCTGGATGTGGGGCCCCCAATGGGGGTTTGGATTTTGTCCTTAGAGCTGGATTTTGCAACGAATAGTGCCCATCGTTGCGTCTGCTTGAGGTCTCTGGCCACTTCAATGGTATTTACTCTTGTCAGACATTTCATCAGTTTCCCAGGGGAAGGGCAGCAAAACATGAATCATATTGGCTAAAAGACTGTACGCTATTCAAACTATAGTAGGTTGTGAGTGGCTAAATGAGTTTTGATTGTAGAGTTTCTTCCAGAAATTGGCTTCATCAAATTCTGCTTTATTCTGACTTTATCATATACAGCCTGCCCTGTTTTAGTGGGTTCTTGCTTGGAACTTAAGTTTATTATACCTGGATCTCCTACTATTTAAAAGCCAATTTATAAACAGGGACTTGAAGTGTGACTCCACTAATGTGTGTCTGTGATCCTGGTTAGAAACCCATTTGGCTGCCTTTTCCTCAGGAGGTGGGGGTTGGGGGGAGGGAGCTGCCGGGAAGTGATTGATAAGGTTTCCTTTATGGATTCTGTGGTGCTTCACTGGAGCTCAGAGCACTTTGGCAACTTAAGCACTCCAAATTAAAAGCTCATTAACAATTCCTGCCCAAAGATCCTGTAAATAATCAGCTAGCTAGGTCATAGAGCTTGGCTAAGAGCTTTTCTTCCAACTTGAAATTTCCAAATAAAAGTGCTTTTATTCCCTTTCATTTTGAAAAGTGTTTTCTTTGTGGTGGGGTAAATCCGTGAGTGGCCTTTTCCCAGCGGATCTGAGTAGAAGAAAGTCTTAAATGTGTGGAATGGTAGACAGGAATATATTAGTTCCAACCCTAGGTGTTTATGCAAAAGACATCACTAACAGGGGCATCTCTGCAACTTCTGGTCCTTTGGAGGATATGAATTAGTTGAAAAGGGTGATAGGTATCTATTGATGTTTTGACTTGGGATTTAGTTACCTTGACTTTCTTAGAGTTTGAAGCAGGCTTGGAAGTATCCCGAAAGTGTTTCCTAGTCTATGTGGCCATTTGCAGTATGACTTGTGGATTTGTGGCAACCAGCCCCTCCCCCAATCCTGGCCCAGCCTTAGTTCCTTAGTTCTGAATATTGTCAGCCTTACCAGTGTCTTCCTCCTTGACTAGACTAGGATTCTGAAATTACCCAAAGAGGCACCACTTCATGGCTATCTTTCTCGGTAAATGTTCAGTGTTTCTAGGAGGTGAGCCTCCATAGGAGGAAAAGTATATGACTAGAGAACATGAAAATCATTACAAATATAGTACTAATAGTTTCTGAAAGCTCCGTGGGGGCACTGTCTTTCCACATAGATGGCAGTTATCCCAAAGTTTGAGTTTAGAGTTTGAGGTGTAGTATCCTTCATGGGGATTTGATCCTTGGTATTGAAATAGACTTGTTGCAGAGATGTGTGTTTATCCACAGCATTGGGGCTTTCCAGCTCTCACAGAACCTTCAGCATCCCCAGCTGCCGGTCTTGGCATCTTCGAAGTAAGGAGAGGTGAGAATCCTGTTGCATGGTCAAGTTTGGCTTTATTTCCTTCTGAGTATTTGGGCTTGGAGGGTAGGGGGTGGGGATTGATGCAGATTGTATTTTTTTTCCCCACGTATCCCCAAAGTCTAAACAAATTGTATTTTTTTGTAGCTTCTTCTGATAAGGTAACGTATGTTCAAAGTCTGTAGAAACTTACTTAAAGTTTCTAAAGTGGTAAGAGTTGGAGGTGGGAGATCCAGACTCTGAAATTCTGTCACAATTGCTTTATGGGCATCTCATGAGCACCTACTTTAGGTTCAGGATGGTTGAATAGAACCAGAATAGCCCATTATCCTGAGAAATACACATCTTTTTTTTTTTTTTTTGAGGCGGAGTCTCACTCTGTCGCCCAGGCTGGAGTACAGTGGCACGCTCTCGGCTCACTACAAGCTCCGCCTCCCGGGTCCACGCCATTCTCCTGACTCAGCCTCCCGAGTAGCTGGGACTACAGGTGCTTGCCACCACGCCCGGCTAATTTTTTTGTATTTTTAGTAGAGATGGGGTTTCACCATGTTAGCCAGGATGGTCTCGACCTCCTGACCTCGTGATCCACCCACCTCGGCCTCCCAAAGTGCTGGGATTACAGGCTTGAGCCACCGCGCCTGGCCAGAAATACACATCTTAAGAAAATAGGAAGAAACATCTTCATTTGACTTTAAACATTTATTTATTTATTTAAGAGACAGACTCTTGCTAGGTTGCCCATGCTGGGCTCGAACTCCTGGGTTCAAGTGATCCTCCTCCCCACAAGTAGCTGGAGCTACAGGCATGTGCCACTACGCCTGCCTCTCATTTGGCTTTTGCTAATGTATTTGACCAAGGCCTTTGGGATCTTGGTTTAATTTAGGTTGCATGTCGCCTTTTGGTGGATGGTTAGTTCCAACCTGTCTGTTTTACAAGGATCAGGGACCAGCTAAAGAGGCATACTCTGGATGATTGATATCCAGGGACTTGAGCTTGTTTGTTCAATAGCTAAGGGCCAGGCACTGTGCTAGTTCCTGGGATTATAGTGGTGAACAAGAAAGCCACCTTCCCTGACACCATAGAGCTTACAAATTCATGGGAGAGACTGATAGTAAAAAGGCAGTTATGATATGATCTGAGAGTGCTATAGTAAGGGAAGTGTAGAGGCTTTGGAAATACTCAGAGGGGTCTCTGACCCAGAGTTGTAGACTCAGGGAAGGCCTCTCAGAGGAAGTAAACCTCCTCACATAGAATTAAACAAACCCTCAAAGAACGCTGAAAATTTAAAAAAAGAAAAAGAAAAAAATAAGATGAAGACATGAGGGACCAATTGTCAGAGCTTTGTTGAATATGAGAAAGTTCAGTGTGGCTGAAACAGAGTACTTAGTTGGCAGGGGACAGGAGAATATGGGGAGAGATGAAGCAGGAGGTAAGCAGAGGCCAGAGCCTTAGCTTATAAACTCTTAGGATTAGATCAGGGAGTAGAAAAAAGATTAGGGCTCTGCAAACTTTTTCTGTAAAGGATAAGATAGTAAATATTTAGGCTTTGGGTCTCTGTCACAACTTCTCAACTCTACTAAACTCTGCAGTTATGCATGAAAGTAGCCATAGACAGTATGAAAAGGAAGAGCATGGATGTATTCCTGTAAAACTTTATTTATAAAATAAATAAAGGTGGCAGCTAGATTTGGCCCATGGAACATAGTTTGCTGACCTCTGGATCAGATTTAAGAACAGTAAGAAGCCACTAAAGGGTTTTAAGCAGTAGACTGATGTTAGATTTGTGTTTTAGAAAGTTGGCAGGCCAGCGTGGTGGCTCACGCCTGTAATCCCAGCACTTTGGGAAGCTGAGGTGGGCAGATCGCTTGAGGTCAGGAGTTCGAGACCAGCCTGGCCAACATGTTGAAACCCTGTCTCTACTAAAAATACAAAAATTAGCTGGGTGTGGTGGTGCATGTCTATAATCCTAGCTCTTGGGAGGCTGAGGTGGGAGAATCGCTTGAACCCAGAAGGCAGAGGTTGCAGTGAGCTGAGATGGCACCACTGCACTCCAGCCTGGGTGACAGAGCAAGACTCTGTCTCCAAAAAAAAATTTGCTCTGATTTCATTGTGAAAAATGGATTGAAGGGGACAGACAATACTGGAGGCAGAGAGACTAGTCAGGAGGCTGTGGAAAATTACGTGGATAGCCATTTTATTTTTCCCTTTTGTGGCATTATTTTGGTCCTTAAAAATTGAGTATATGGCTGGGCACAATGGCTCATGCCTATAATCTCAGCACTTTGGGAGACCAAGGCTTGAGGCAGGAAATCAGGACCAACCTGGTCAACATACTGAGACGCAACTCTACAAAAAAACCAAAACAACAACAAAAACTGATCTATAAATACGCTTTTCTTATAAATAAAAAAAAATGAGTATAAATGAATCTGCATATATGAGTGTAACGGTTCTCTTTACTAACTTCCTACCCATCTACTAGAATGTATAGAATGTCTACCAAAGAATTTGTTGGAGATACTGGCTCCTATTTTACACACTGGAAAAGATGTAGAAAGGGAAAGTTGGTATAAAATGAATTGAAAGAGCTGAGCACGGTGGCTCATGCCCATAATCCCAGCACTTTGGGAGGCCAAGGTAGGTGGATCACTGGAGGCCAGGAGTTTGAGACCAGCCTGGCCAACATGGCAAAACCCTATTTCTACCAAAAATACAAAAATTAGCTGGGCGTAGTGGCGTGTGCTGGTAATCCCAGCTACTTGGGAGGCTGAGGCATGAGAATCACTTGAACCTGGGAGGTGGAGGTTGCAGTGAGCTGAGATTGCGCCACCATACTCCAGCCTGGGCAACAGAGCGAGACTCTGTCTCAAAAAAAAAAAAAGAAAAATGCTTTGGAAACTATATTTTAATGAAGTATGGAATAAGCAGAGCCATTGAAAGGGTCTCGGTCTTAGGGTTCATAACTTAATGTCAATTAATTTGAACTTCTTGAACAGAGAGGATGACCCATTTTCCTAAGCCTTCCAGGAAATTGCCCTCATTCTATATATGTCCTACTTGGTCTCTCCTTTCCTGGCTTGTAGAAGACTGATGACCTCTTCCAGATATTTTGGAGATGTCTCCTAGTTCAGGTATATGTCAAGGAAAGGGACCAAATAAAGTATTGTATTTAGTGAGCGTCTGATGAATAGGTTAGAGCTGAGAGTCCCTTGCCTGTGCTTTCCCTTACTTCCTACATTCCCTTTGTAGGAGGTCTTCATCCTACAACCCCAGTGTAGGTTTCTGGTAGCAGTGTTTACTTGACCTTGGGCAAGTGACTTACCTCTCTGAGCTTCACTTTGCTATCTGTAAAATGGAGATAATGATACAATCGAGTTGGCTGAAGGATTTAATAATGTTTGTAAAACTCTTTGCACAGTGTCTTGATAACTTTTATCACTAATAAAATTTTATATAATTAATAAGTTTTTATAAAGCAGCCAGTATTTGGGTGACTTGGCTTTTGACTTCATATTTTTTGTGTCCTCACAGTTGTCATTGTGAATATACGATAAAAACATAGCCGCTCATGGTGGCAGCCAGCAGACAGGAGGAATTGACAACTAAAGCAAGGCACTGCTCTTCATAATGGAAAATTTTCAGACAATGGGTGTTCCATTCAGAATCCCAGAACTGGCCAGGTGCGGTGGCTCACACCTGTAATCCCAACACTTTGGGAGGTCGAGGTGGGTGGATCACCTGCACCTGAGGTCAGGAGGTCAGGAGTTTGAGACCAGCCTGGCCAACATGGTGAAACCCCATCTCTACAAAAATACAAAAAATTAGCCAGGCATGGTGACACACATCTGTAGACCCAGCTATTCAGGAGGCTGAGGCAGGAGAATTGCTTGAACCTGGGAGGTGGAGGTTGCAGTGAGCCAAGATTGAGCTGCTGCACTCCAGTCTGGGTGACAGAGTGAGACTCAAGACAAAAAAAAACACCAAGCAATCCCAGAACTTTTTTCAGTGTGGACCTTAGTTCCAGCACCATCAGTAAAGCAAATTGAGTGAGCAGCTTCCCGATAGAAATTCACCAAAGTGTGACCAGCATTCCTCCCTGTCTGTCTGGGGTCATTTATTAGTGTTGCCACCCTGTGGCCTTACATCTTTGTAAAGTGCCTCTCAAATTTTTTAAAATTACTTTTCACCAGCACTCTGGGAAGTGGGTCAGGTGGTCAGCATTCTTGTCCTTGATACCGTATGAAGAAACTGAGGCCCAGAAAGGTTAAATGAGTTGCCTGAGGTCCTGCTGTGAGGTACTGTCAAAGCTAGGGCAGATTTGCCATCCAGATGAAAGTGTGTTAGTTTATTGCTATGATTTTGCTTTCCTTGAGTGAGAGGTGCATAGTCATTCCAGAACTGCAATCTGATGCATGCCTTGTCCAGATCTACTAGGCTTGATTTGGGTCCTACGTTATCCATTTGGTTCTGTTGGGTTTTAATTAGTGATTGCTAGAACCAGAACTGTTGGGAAGCAGATTCCCTTTGGGTCATTGTTTTTAGCCTTTCCTCTTTGGGGGCATTCCTTGAGGAGCTTTGGGTTACTAGGGATTGCTTTGATGTGTTCAAAATTGTGCCTTGTGCCCCACAGCTACAGGTAAAATCAAAAGGCGGATAATTTATGGGAGTGTCAGAGCTGGCCGCTGGCACCTCAGGAGGCCATTAGTATGCCTGTTCAGACCCTCTGTGTCCTTGCAATTGATTCCTCTTTGCATGAGCCTGATTTGGGAAGCTGTAGATCTGTGGGTAGTGATTGGATGTGACAGTCCAAACACCGGTCCCTAAATTAATCCTTTTAATGGTATTCCGGCACCAAGGCAATTCTCTCTCTCTCTCTCTCTCTCTCTCTCTCTCTCTCTCTCTCTCTCTCTCTCTCTCTCTGGCTCTTTCTCTGTCTCGCTCTCTCTCTCGCTCTTTCTTTTGCTCTTTTTAACTAGGGAGGACAGAATGGGGTGGGCTAGGAG